GTGCGGCTGTGCCAAGCGGCAGGCAGCAGAGCCTTGGCGAAACTTGGGGTGGATGCAGCCTCCTCCCAGCGCTGCCAGAGCCCACTCTGAGCCCAGCCCCTGCCGAGAAGAGCCCCATGCAGTGCCAGTTCTGGCTCCACCCTGCAGCTGCAGCCCAGCCTGCACTGCGCAGATCTGGGGGCATACCCCCCCACCCTCCTGGGGTGCAAGCAGCAGCAGGAGAGCTGTGCCTCTGTCCTGCATCCTTCTCCTCCCCTTGCTGGGCAGCACCTGTGCCTGCCCCCTCTGTCACCACAGGGGGCATTGATCTGCCCCCTCCATTCCCCTTCCCTCCCCTCCCAACTTACCAGTTGGACGCAGGCTGCCAGCTCCACTCTGTGGTGCACTGCGGCTGCATGCAGCACGGCCATTTATCGGCTCCATTGGGCCAATATCTGATACAGACAATCTTCTTTATATCAGTACTGATCTAATATCAGACCGACGTATGAGTGCACCTCTAGCTATACTACTATAATTTAATATCAATACAATAGTTACATCTGTCTATACCCTGAGATAAGCTAAAAACAGTATGACACACATTCATTACCAGGTTTGACAAGGTTATTAAATGTACAACTCTAGATCTCTAACTGAAGGGAACAGAAGAAAGTATGTTTGTACTGAGGCTGAAAAGTATTCCTGAGGCAGAGGTAGGGGTGGGGCAGGAGACCCATTACAGTGAAATACCACTCCTCTGAATTTACATGAAGAAATCCAAGAAATAAAATCCAACATATTTAACTCAGCTTGGGGCTATTTAATTTCCTTTGGCTCCACTGTACCTGTTACAGGAGCCACGATCCAATCCAAAGAAAGAGAAAGCGGTAGATCAACGTGAAAGCAAAACCAAGAGATACTGGACTACCTTTCTGATTTGTAGGTCTTTTCTGTGAAGGTCTTTAGGATTTAGTAGTCTGGGAGACCCTGACACACCCCATGCCCAGGCATTTCTTCAAATGTGACTGATATACAGTAAGATACGAAACATGAATCTACTGAAACTTTTGTATCACTGCGCTACTTGTGAATGATTCAGATCACGGGATCATCAGTGATGATGGACTTGCACCATTAGTTCTCTTGCTAGACTTACATTAGTAAGAGAACATCACAGTGTTTTATGGTCTAAATAAAGGCTTTGTTTCCATGACTTTGAGGAGGTTACTATTAATGAATAATAAAATCTTGAGAAACTTATGCTTGTCTTTCCAAATAAGAGCTAATAAACCAATATACAGTATCATGCTCATTCTTATATACATAAAGATAGCTTTTCAAAGAGGGCAGTCAGCCTGTTTAGGCTAAAAAACTAAAGGCAAGAGCCTAAGACAGGCGCTGGAATTCCTGTTTCTTCAAACACAGGTAGGTTATAATCACCTTTTAAAAAGAGAAGCCTAAGGCTTACAACAAAAACAGTTTTAACCAAACAGTTTTAACAAGTGAAGCACAGTAACTATTCAAAGCAATCACTGCATAGAAGTAAAACATACAATCATGAGAAGAATCTTTGTTTGGCTTTATATATTCAAAATCCTTGGAAATAAAGATGAGAAAGGGGAGTTTAAGTTTTCTAAAGTGAAAGATTATACTGCCTAAAACCCTCATTCTGGGTTCAGATTTGTGACATGAGTGGTAGTTCTGGCTCTTGCAGTTTTCACAGCAGAAGCTACTACTAAAGTCATACCTATCCCATATCCTTCATACAGTTGTCTTTCACGTTCCACGGTCTGTTTGATGATCATCTCCCGGGAACCATGCTGTCTCCCTTGTCTGCCTTTAATGCTGTTATGCAACTCAATCTGCTCCAGTTCATCACTGAATCGATTCAAGTAACTGAAAGACAACAACACATATTTCAGCTAGGCATAGCAACACTAACACAACGATACTAGTTTGGTTGCTTGTCAGGGACATTTTTACCAGTTACAATACTTTGTCTTCTAAGCCATTTCAAAACATGCTACAGAGGCAAACTGAGATTGCTGTGAGCTAAATTGAAATACTTTTTTTAAAGTATAAAAAGTCTAGTTAGGTTCTGATCCCATGTACTAATAGATTTTGCAGAGTATAGCACAGATCAGCCTATGCAAGAAACTGTTAGAGAAGGAAGGGTAGTGTTATATTAGAAGAACTTCCTAAGGACTCTAGAAGTAGGATAAGATTTGTTCCTGTTTATGACTAGAAGCTACACAAAAGGTTGACAAATAATTTCACTATAAGGAACTGAAATAGGAATGTGAAATTTTGCCAACTGTTAATCATTTTAGTTAAATTTTTCTAGTTTAGTTTTTTGGGCCATATTTCATTTTAGATTACTTGAACATCATTGGTGATGAGATTTCTAAAAATACACTGTTTTGTTCACATTAATAAACTACTGCTCCTGCTTATTTGGCTATGAACAGACATCGCATTTATCCTGGGAGATATACTTTTGTCCTGGGACTACAGACATACATTCCCGGTGTCCTGCTTGAACTCCCTCTGAAGTATGCTGGATAAAATGTACAAAAATTTTTTCCCACAACAACCTGTTGCATGTTTATATGATTACAGTGGTTCATACCAGGGATAAATCTGTCAGGTGTGTACTCGTGTGGGCCACCTACTGGGGAAGGAGCAATGATGCATGAAAGGGCTCCTGCTTTGATCTGGGTCAAATGAAACATCTATTTACAGCCTATTATGAGAAACTCTAGTACATTCATACTTTGGAGCAACAACTTAAAATATGACGTGGGTGGGGGAAGTGTTGCTATATTGTCAAGGAAGCTTCTTTTGCTATGTTTGGAGGAAAAGCAGACAAATTTGACCAAAAAAAATGCTAAAATTGCCTACCTTGAACACACCCGACTTTAATAATCGTCGTGGGCACGTGTTTGTGTGTGAGAGATTGTACACATGTTGTATTGCGGTAGCTATAGTTGGTGTAATTGCTTTATATTGCTATTTTATAATGAAACTTGTTATGATTTATTTTTCATAATATTTTAATCAGTCATTATTATTTTGTATCAAATATTAAATAACCACAGAATTAACCACCTACTTTAAATCCCCTATTGCTTAGATATATATCTGACCTGTTGGTCTCATGATTTTAGAACTTGAATTTAGTATAGGAAAAATGTTTATGTAAGGTCTGTGGTATGTCTGGCATGTTTGACAAGAGGTAATGAAAGAATGAATGATGCATGTCTGTGACAACATGAAGGAAGACAGTCCTGTTGCAGCAGGTGAAAATAGCCTCCTATTTAAAGAGTTAAAGACTGCAGTGATATTGAGTCAGCAGTTAAGGATTACCAAATACTAAATCATGCCTTCACCCTGACTGCTGAAGACTACAAGCATCGACCCCTCGAAGATTGTAGACCACAAAGCCAGAAGATCACATCCTACCAATCCCAGCCTGCCAACAGGACAAGGAGGATGACCTTCGCATCTGACTCAGCAGAATCCATAGGCTTGTATGGACAGCTATCACTATAACATATGAATACAAAGAAAAGGCTTTGGGTCTCCACCTACAAGAAGGAATTTTGGGTGCATCCAACAAGACCTGACTCCATTCCTCATGATCAATCTGGCTGGCCACCTGACTGACCCAAGCATCTTTAGAACCTGGTAACACCTTAACCTTTGCAGGACTGTCTAACTATCTGTGTGTGTTTCTTTTGTAAGAATGAATGAATGAATGAATGAATGAATATGTATGGGAATGAGTGAAGCAGATAACCTTACTGCTTTTTATTCCTTTTATGTTGTATGCTTTATGTTCCAATAAATGCAGCGTTGTGCCTTATCCCAGTAAGATTCATGCTTGTTTTTAATTCACACTGTACACCCTGTGCATACAACACAAACTATGTATCTTAAGTGACCCCTGTGCAACCTGGAAAACAAAAATCTTGTTGCCTTTCATTAAAACTTCAAATGAAAATATTCTGGATATTTTACAGTATCATGCCATCATTTACACTGGGAAAAGGGTTGGAAACACTTTTCCGGACTGAGCCAGAATAACCCAGCTTGAGGTCCAAAGCAGGGCAGAGCTAGGACCCAACTGCTACCATTTCTCTCTGCCACCCAGCAGCAACACAATGTGGGTGAAGCCCCCAGTTGCTGAATGCCACAAGGGTCCCTGCTTCATGGGCCAGATCAAATAGCTCCAAAGTTGTAGGTTGCCCATGCTGCACTGAGAGGAATTAAAGTCTTCTGACTCTTACATAACTAACACCTGTTCTTCAACATCCTTAAAAATACCTCCTGTTATGTAGGTTTTCTTGAATTGTGTAAGAAACGTGCCATGACTGAAGATAAATGAAAGTCTACCATCAGGCAATGTAAGTGATTCAGCTACCATATGGCCAACCTTTGCTAAATAAACCCTTAAATATAGTAATGATAAAGTCTCTTTGTACAGCTTCCTACTTCAAAATTGCCTGCTTTTAAAATTCATGCACTGTGATAGTTGAGAGGGTCCTGACTGAAAAAAAAAAAAAATGAAATAGGATAAGAGCACTAGAATCGACTAGCTGCATTTTTATCAAATGGACAGCTCCATGCCCTTATGCTATCCTGATCACGTAGTCTTTAGAAAGGGCACACAGCTGTAGCTGTGTTATTTGGAGCTGCCTTCACTACATACGAAGGGACGGAAATCTTGCGTGGGAAAGTTGCGCCATGATCTAATTCAGGAGCTCTAAGGTACTTACGACATTTCTGTTATGCATATATTTAATACTAAAAAAAATTAAGAACCAGTAACATCTAAAATAAAACTTGAAAGGTAAAAGGTAGTTTATTAAAGGTTGGTTGTAGTTTTACCAGTCAATCTTATTTGAAAGAAATTAAACTTTTTACTGTTCTAGACCCAATCTTACTTTTCAATTAGTTCACAGGCTTCTTTCTTTGTGTAGTCTGCTTTACTAGGGTCAAGGTGACTTTGAAACCACTGCAATTTTTCTCCTACAAGAATAAAATGAATATTAATTACAATAGCACTTCATATGAATACAGAGCCCTTTGTTCCTGTAATAAACTTTATTTTCCAGAGTTTACTATTTAGTCATAAATATTTGGCTCATTAGAGTACCTGCACTGAGTCTCACTGAAGATTTCATACAAATAAAATATTTTATCTAGGTGTCAGAAACTGGTAAGGAAAGTACTGTCATCTGTCTCTCATCTCCCTTTACCTAAAAATATATTGTTCTTGTTTTTGTTTTAAAATACTAGAAAATCGGGAAGAAAACTTCTAATATATTTTCCATTTTTAATATAATATAAAGAGAAGTAAATTTGTTCTACAACAGCAGCATGAAGAAGAAGAATATTGGTTTAGATCTATTCATTCCATGACAAGCAGTCAGATTTATACAATTTAAGAATGGGGTAAATTTGAAAGATATAATATGTAGCATACAAAGTTGTCCAAAATTCAATGTTACTTCACTTAAAGCATCTTTTTGTGCAAGTGTTCAAGTATAAACATTATATAGATTGGTAAAACCAGATTGTATTTAAGAAAAAAAAGTTTGTTCTGTTGTATGCTACATTACCTTGTGCTAAGACATACATCTGCGCCCACTGTAAAGATTAAGCACAAGTAAAATCTTTCAATATCCTGACTGTATCAATATATGTAGGCTTAAAATGGGAACATGTGATGCTTGAATAAACAGAATCTTTTAATAAGCTAGTAGTCATTTCTGCAGCTACAAAGTAACTCCATAGCTTTCCTTTTCCCTCAAAACTCTGGAAGACTTGCTTTCAAAACCAAAAATTATTGTTTAAAAAAAACAAAACAGTTGATCAAACTTACCTACAGTACTCAGACGCAAAGCTTTCTCATTTTTCAACCTAGAAAAGAAAAAGTTCATACATTAGCCAATAATTAGTTAATAAAAAGCAGGGCAAAAATTATAGCAACTCAAAACATTTTTTCCATTCCTATCAAAATAAGAACCTGAAAAAATCTGTTTCAGATCAAAGGAAGCATTTGATTTCCAAAGGTACTACACTTCATATTTAAGCAAATTTGGTCTCGATACTATTCAGAGGTAGTTTATTTGAAAATGTATAAATAAAGGGATTTGACTTAATTTCCCCTCCTCCCTTTGTTCAGCTGAAAATTATTTGCTTATTTCAGCATAAACGGGCAAATTTTGTCAACCCAAAACTGACAAAATAATGTGGGTAAATAAAACAAAACAAAACAAAACTATTTGTCTAACACTTCTGCAAATCTACCAAGAGAATGCCCATGGAAAAAAAGGATGAAAACATGCCTTATGGGAACCTTCATTTTTAAAACATGCCACTATGACAGCTTCTGTGGGTGTTTTATGCAGGAGCATCAGCCCCAGGCTCAGTCCCTACATCAAATATGTCAGGGGTGGGCACATATTTGGGCCCATGGGCCACATAGGGAGTTTTGCTGAGCTGTCATGGGTTGGGTCAGCACACCCAAGTCACCAAAATGCCCTGTATGGGATGGGGCCACGGGCAGAACTGACAGGCAAGGCTGGGATCATGGGATGGTGACAGTGTGGAGCTGTAGGCTGGGCCCGGGGCAGAGCCATAATCCACTACCCACATGCCCCTGCAATGGGGGCAGGTTCTGCTGGCATAGGTGTGCAGGGAGCAGATCACAACCCTGTCCCAGCCCTGTGCTGCCACCGCTCCAAGATCCTGGCCTCAGCCCTGGACACAGCTCCCCACCCCGCTGTGCACCGTTGCCCACGCAGCTCCCAGCCATTCTCCCCAGAGATCATGGGGTCACCACAAAGACTGGTCAGGAGCTGTGTGGGGGTGCCAGCGTTGTAGGGCAGTAATAATGCAGGGCCTGGCCTGGGGCCAAACCCCAGTTCTGCAGGCAGGGACATGCAGGGAGCATATTGTGGCTCTGCCTGGGACCTGTGATCTGGGAGCCATGCAGGCACAGTGCATGGCAGAGCCGCACTCCCCTGCCTGCAGAACCTGTGCCTGTCACAGGGGCATGTGGGAAGTGGACAGCAGCTCTGCCCTGGCCTCATGCTGTTACCCCGCCAAGACCTTGAGTCTCTCTGGACCCACCTGCATGTCTTGCTTGCAGATGCCACTCCCTGCTGGCCTGCAGCCCTATCCCAACTGCCTGGCCACATGCCCTCCCAGCACAGGTCATGCCTCCAGCTGTGGGTGGAAGGTGGATGGGCTGGGGTGCCCAGGCACTGGGGTTGGGTCCAGCAGCAGCAGCCAGAAGGAGCCATCACCACCAGGGCTGTCAGGAAACGGAGTCCAGCCACCACGCTACCCCAATCCCGCTGTGTGTCTGCTAGCGGCAGGACTGGCTTCATGTGCCATGGCCCAAGCTGCTGCCCACACCCAGGCCAGGTGGGACCAAAGGACCCACTGCCAACTGAGCAAAATCTCTCCATGGGCCAGATACGGTCTGCAACTCCTATTCTGCACACCCCTGAAACATGTAAACTGTTTCTAGTATATCCCCATTGTGTTATCTAATGGAAGGGAAAGAAATGAAGTAAAATTGCACCTTGGATATTTATTAATTCCTATAGACTAAACATTATTTTGTAACAAGTGATAACAAAATAGACAGTGAGATATCTTCAAAATTAGTCAACAGCTTTTATGTGAAGATTGAGAAAGTAAATTCTAAGGAATTTCCATATCATTCCCCCTTTTTGAATTATTGAAGTATGGTACAGCCTTGTTAATTTTGGAGGATATATGTTAGAGCCTCACACTTTTAGTCTTGGAGATCTCAGGGTAATACCTGATGATCAAGCTGTATGGATGTCACTTGAAGTAAGCAAGGATAAAATATACAAAAATCTCTCAAGTACGCATTGGTTTGGCACAAATAATGACATTAACCTTTGTGAAATAATATTTATTCTTGTCAAGACAACTCCCTATATGTTCCAAACAGCAGAAAACCATTTTTAATTAGAATATACAGTAACACAAGATGCAGCAGCAGGTCCTCTGGTATAAATTGTCACTGCTTCACTGAAGTCAACGGAGCCATGACAACAATTAATAACAGTAGGCAGGGCTCCCAGAGTGGGTAATAGAATAATAAAATCAAATACAGTAGAGTATAAAACCAAATAAATTAGGCAGGATTCTTCTCCTTTTCTTTTCTTTTTAATTTCACCAAATAGAGCAAGTTTATGAACGGTAATTAAAAGATAAAAATGGAACCTAACTCAGAAGAAAAATTCTAAGTTAATGGATTCAAAGTTTCAAACTGACAGACCTGGAATGTGATCTTAATAGATAAAGAAAAGGAAGAATTAACATTACAACAAACCGAAGTGAGAATTACAGCTAATGTCTCAAACAGAGACTGATGCAGGGAAAAAAGTAGACAGCACAAAAGCCAATACTAGGAAGCAGACGGAGCATGGAAAATTCTGGAGATTGGACAAAAAAAGATTCCACATCTAGGAAACAACATGCAAAAACGAAAGGGAATTTTAAAAAGTAATAGTAAGAATGAAAACAGAAAAAGAGCAAAGAATGGGCATCATATACAATTTTTAAAAATAAAATTGTAATTACATAAGTAGTAAGTGCTACACTGGGTCAGATCAATGGTAGATCTGGTGTATCTGCTGTGATCTATCCCATAATATCTCTGGAATCCACCAGTTGCTGGCTTACAGGTGCTAGGGGATACACTCAGACTATTTTGTGTAACAGCTATTAAAGGATCTATCAGGCGTAAATGCATCTAGTCCCTTTTTAAACTTGGCTATCCTATCTACCTCTATAATGTCCTGTGGTTATGAGTTCCACAAGTTAACTACGTACTTCATTGAAAGGTACTCTCTCAGTAGTTTTAAACCTGTCTCCTAATTTCCAGGGGTCTCCTTTAGTTCTAGTATTCTGGGACTTAGTGAGTAACAGTTCTCTATTCACTTTGTCCACTCTCCTCATGCTTTTATAGATCGCTACCACGTCCACCTCAGTCTCTTGTTCAAACTTAAGAGTCCTAGCCTTTATTAAGGCAAGAATTTTTCTGGGCAGTATCTTTTATTGGACCAACTGCATGATTGGGATAGTTTTAAAAAAATCTTTTGGGTATCATCGTATCTTTCCTCAAGGAGACCTCTCACATTTCTTGAACCACTATGGCTATGTCACTTCAACATTAATCTTTTTTTAAAGTCTCTCCTGGTATGGCAGCTATTCCATATCCCCAGCCATCTTAGTTGCCCTTCTTTTGCACCTGTCTAAATTCTACTACATCTTTTTTGAAATGCATAAACCAGAACTGCACACTATATTCCTGATCAGGTAATCTACCATACTCCTAGTACAATGTTGTTTTTAGTCAAGTACTGAATTTTCACCCACTGAGATTCTGAGGTCATTTTCCTATCAGGTACGATTTTCACACTGTTACTCTCTGCCTTTAACATCTGGTGCCATCCCCCAGCACCACGTCCTACTCTAATTCCTACTTGTTTGTCACCTGGTATAACAGTATGCCATTGATTAACATCCTTCCACCAAGTTTCTGAGATGTCTATTACATAAAGGTTACCATTTCATATCAGGCATTCTATCACCCATCTTATTTTTTATGCATCTAACATTTGTTCTTACTTTGTTACCCATTACTACATATGGTATTTGACTCGAACTCGAAGTGCACTGACTAATCCTCACCATTGTCTATCGTTACACTTCCTACTTCCTTACTATTGTTTTCAAGAGGATACAGAATTTGTATGATGCCTCCTTTGTGACCGCATCCAACCAAGCTGTGCACTTCTTTGCATTTGTCTGCTTTCCCTCATTTTTAATGTATAAATACATCACTCTATGACTTGTTAATTTTTAGCGCCAGTAGTCTGGATCTCTTTAAGTTCATGTAGAACTCATCTTTTCTGTACAGGTTCCTCCTGTCCCAAAAAGTTTCCCAATTCCTGGTAGACCTAAAACCTTTCTCCCTATAACCACCAACTCACCAGTGCACTGAGACTCTAAAGCTCTGTCTCAGTCTCTGTCCTGCACATTGAACACATCTGCTCTCTAAAGGCCAGGAGCTCCTTGCACCAAGTGCACACATATGAAACCTACCTCCAGGGCAGATGATACTGATACCTGCTGCACTCAGTGCAATAAATTAGGCAGCCTTCGCACTTTTAAAAGGTAATATGTTTACCTTTAAATGTAAGTCTATTATTTTAAGCATAAATTGTAACAAACTTGATTTTTAGTCATCTTCAGCATTTGACACTCCCGTCTATGTGCCTTGCATGGCAATACAGACAATAGTGCATGCCTACAAAGTGTTGCCATGGAGAAAATTGCTATGCAACATAGAAAAGCTACCTAAATTAGAGCTGTAGCGTATGCAGCTTACTCCTGCCTAGAAATGCTACACGCTTGTTTGTACTACATTACAATAAAGAAACCATTAACAGTTTTTATTCATCTACTGGTATAAGCCAGTGATTCTCAAGCAGGGTGCCAAAGCATCCTGTAGTACCTTGAGATGCTTTCAAGTGTGCCATGAGGCTGCCATGCAGTGTTAGCACTGTTAGGTGTGCAAACATGATTCACAAGATAAACCCAGAGATGTTAATTAGGACTCCACTGTGTAAAAAATATTCTGACCTGTTGTGGTCTTTGAGTTATTTACAACAGAAGAATTGCTCTATTATTTTTCCATAGTCAAAAGAAAAAATGAAAACAAAGAGTTGGCATTTTCTGAGGGGTGCCTTGAATCTATCTAGGGGTGCCTCAAGTTAAAAAAGGTTGAGACCACTGGTATAAACACATACACAAGTAAAATATCTAGAGACAAAAACATTTTCTGAAGTAAGCACAGCTAAATACATTTT